CGTCAAAACATCTGATGGAGTTTAGCAGACCACCCTGACATCCTGTGTGTTCATTGATGTTATCGTCTGGAGGTTATTGAAAACTGCAAACCGTAATCTGTTATTTGCAGTCTGATAATATCTGTCAAGATCCAGCTACTATCAGTCGGCTTCCTTCAAGGCTCTTCTGTCTCATCAAATTGCAAATTCACTTTTCACTGAGTTTGTTTTTACGAGTAAACCTTTCATGTTGATCATACTTGTGCAGACCAAAAGCACACAAAGCTAAAAGGTGAGCTGAAAGTTAAACAGAAATGGAGACTTTTATTGAAATGACAAGGATCCAATTCATGGTTGAAGTCAGTCGGACAGGTAATGTCCACACAGTCTGGTTTTTGTTTTACTGTTGACGTGGTCGATGGGGCAAATGTAGGTTCTCACGCCTGGGAAATATTTCTGTCTGTGCTCCATTGACAGTGAGATGTTAGAATAGCCATGCAAAAAAGCCCTAATGCTGGTGTTCACATTCAGGAGCACAATCTGGATGTGTGTGAACTTCCTGCTTGTTTTATTTTTCAGTAAGTTTGTTTTGGAAACATTTTCCAATTGTTCAGTCATAGTGTTTGTAACCCCTGCAGGATGAGGTCGTTGACCTTTATGTGTCTGCTGATGTGGTATTGTGCAGGATGTCCCAAATTTGGTAAGGCTATCGCATCTGTGGTTACAACAGGTAGAATCGGAAGCTTGTCAAACCTGCTGGGGTAACAAATGCCTTTGGTCTGAGCTTCTGTTCTTTGTTTATCTACGTTTAATTAAATGGATGAACTATGTTAAGTTAAAAGTAATAAGTAAAAAAATGTTGTAAGGCCAGAGTGAATTTCATGTTGCAGAGCCAACCACTTACAGACTTAAAAGTATACGTGTCTGAAATAAAGCGTTTTTCTTCATTCTGATTTTTTTCTTTGCTCGTGAGATCCAGGTCTATTTTGGATCTTTTGCTGTGCGGCTTACTTAGGGTGTTTTTAGCTTTCTGGCTAGCGTCTGTGTAGTCAGCAACAACAACATGCATTTGAAAAGCAAGTTTGAAATGCTACACGACTTAAAGAGGACTAATGTTAATTCAAAATCTATAAAGGTTTTACCGGAAGAATTTCTGTCTAGATGAGATTTTGTGTTGCTGCGGATCCATACATATTTCAAGTTGGTCATTTCAACAAAAGAATATTCTGCATGACTACATCAGCGTTTGATATTTCTCCAAGGACCAAATTGAAGAGCAGTCAGGTTTGTGGACGTGTGTTTATGCACATGGGTTTTAAAGTTAATTTGTATTTTTTAATTAGCTTTACTGGGGGGGTTTACTAGCTATGTCTATTAGTTATTGTGGGTTTATTGTGTTTTGCGATGCAGTTTCGAGGAGAGGATATATTAGTCAAATAGTCTGAAATTTGACCCCTGACTCAGTAATTGTCATATGGTTGGATGCTGTGACTGTAAAAAAAAAAAAAAAAAGGCAAGAAATGTTATCCCTCCTGTTGGAATGAATAGTTACCTCTTGAAAATGTTCACATTAGCGTTGTATTTCTGAAGCACATTTTTGGACATTTTTTTCAAACAGAGCTTTGAAAATCTCAGGGAATGCTCTCTCAAAGTAACACATCCAAAGAAGCAATGTTTGTTCAGCTATTATTCATGCTGATTGGTAGTGATCAGCAGTGATTAAGTAATAAGCAGATCAAATTCAGAAAATCAGAACTCTCGTTTCTCAGTTCCGAAAAAAACCTGTGATAGGCGAAATCCGTGAAGTAGTTACCTTTATTTTTTTACAACTACTATACAGCATAATTAAATACTCTACATTGAAACCAAAGAACAAAACCTGTTTTCAGGCCCAAGTATTTTTTGAACATAATACTTTCTTACAAATAATTACAGTAAAATAATCACTTTAATCATCAATACGAGGTACAGTAGGACAAATTGTGACTTGCGTATTTCACTGTGCCTCTGACTGTGACGTTGTGGCTTGATTCCGCTCTTTAGTGTCTTTTTCTTCTGAAGCCTGTGGTGCAGGTATGTTTTTTTCAAGAGAAGAACATAGTTATCGATAGTTGTCACTCTTTTTTTTCTTCTGGGGAAGAAACATTTACCAAATTTTGCCAAGCTGTTTTACGTATGTTTAAAAAACGTAACGTTATTTGCACACAGGTAGAGAAGAAGTGGGGAGACTGGTTAGCCAATCAGGACGCAGAATACAATGCACTGTGAAAAAATACTGCACAAAAACATCCGTGAAGCAGTGAGGTTGTGAAAGGTGAACTGCATTATAGCCAAGGTTCATTTGCATTTAATATATCAAAACTCAGAACTGCCACTATGTTTGACCTGTAAAAAAATCAAATATTGTGTATTTTGATGCAGTTCTGAGTTTATTGAGAGATAGATAAAGTTTAGTGAAATGTTCTTAAATGGTTTAGGTTTCTCTTAGACTTAGAACTAATAACTTTGTTAAAGAACCCGTGAAGTAGTTATTTTTATTTTTGTTTTATTGGTTATCGCCCTAACCCGTATGAGCAGACCAGACCTAAAGCTCACTGTCACCCAGGAAAAACATGTTTCCTGCATTTTCCATTTTGCTATTGAATTACCACATTCCTCATTGTCTGAGAGTAGCAACATATCAGGACTTTTCTTTTTAACATACATGATGATAAGTTAATAAATGGAACAAAACTTAATTTCTACTTACTTATGGAAACCATAATTTCACTCAATACTTCAACAATGTGGTTTATTTATGTTAGTGTAATGCTAATTGTTACTATTTATCAAAATTTGTGTTTAATAGATTCATGTGCTTGTCATGTCCTGCTGTAGAAAACATTAAAGTGAACTTGAATTGTACCTACTTTTGCCAGGATGAAGAAATTCTTGTTGCAGTATTTGCATGATCTACTTCTGCAGTCCTAAAATAGCTAAGCATTTTCTGTGGTTTTCATTATGCAGCAGCCTACACTTTTTTCTTTTTTTTACTTTTATTCAAAAGATATCCAATAGTAGCAAAGGCTGAGTGTGTCTGTGTGTATGTGTGTGTGGATGCCTGTAGGATTATAAATTTCACAGGGGTTTGCGTATTGTATCTCCATGTCTAAATGGGTATGCCTGCTTGCCACACTCTAAAACATGAGTTTGCAGTTGCTCTCTTGCCTCAGCAGTTCAGAGATACTTCAAACACAACAATTTGCAATTAACGTCTGTTACTTCATAAGCACATGAAGTAGTCTAAATATTGGTGTTTGTGTCATCAAAGGGACTTCCTAAGTTGAGTGACATTGAGATTAAACTAGGTGCAGGAAGTAACACTACTGCTGAGTGCACTTCCTGTAATGCAATGACTGTTTTGCGAAGACACCGTTTCTTCAAAATCAGCTGACCTGCCCCGTGTTTTGAAAAAAGCATCTTAATACATTAGAGGCTATTTAAGAAGAAAATATTCTTTAACTACTGGCAATAACTCATGCCAGTTTTCTTAATAAAAAAAAACATCCGTTAAACTTTGCTTTCCAGCTGTAATAAATAAAATGTGAAAACTCCACTTCTGCTTGGCATGTTGTCTTGGCCTGGTGCGCGTGAGGACCTCTTGAGCCATGTGTCTCTGGTGGCTTGAAGGCACAATGGCTGATGTGTCTGGCAATAAGTGTTTCATTGGAAGGGGAATAGTTGGCCTTTGTTGTCTTCTGCAGGATGGATGATTTTTTTTTTCTCCCTGCCTTGCCATCCGGCTTGCTCGTGGCCGTTGACTTGTTCCAGGATGGCTTTGCCAAGTTAGAAAAGAGAGTACAGAGTCAACTGCCTAATGTTACTGCTAAAATAAGCAAAGAGGGGATATTTAGAGCAAGCTTTTGGGTTCTTACCATCTCCTTTGGTAAGAACCTGTGAAAGATTTCCAGGATTAATGGGCAAAGCTAAGTTTAATTTTAACTCAATTTTAGCTTGCATGTTCCTCCTTGTAGAAACATTTTTTCTCTTAAAGCTGTAGTATGTAACTTTTACCTTTGTTATACTTTTTTAAAAGTATCACTATTTTTTGATAGTATAATAGAAAACACATAATCTGTGAAAAGATCAATTTTCTCCACCTCTTTCCTGAGCTTTTTATTGATATCTGAAGAAATGCTCCACTCCCAACCAAGAATAACCTATCAGAGTCAGGAGGAGGGTCTTAGCACTGTCAATCAAACACGTGTACTTGCTGCTTGATGTGCTGATGACAGAGAAACACCTTAACATTAGGAAAACTGTTTATCCACCATCATCTGTGGTCTTGCTAATTAGCCTGAGCATTCACGACTGGGGAGAAGCCACAGCGAAGCAGAAAGCAGAGGGAAGGGAGAGAGAGATGAGCAGCACGAGATTTTGATTGACTGGTTCTTATTGGTTGTATCTAGTTAGCACTTGGAGTATTTTGAGAAGGCAGACGAGTTTGATTTTTCCCCACCGGTTATGTGTCTCTACTGTCATGACATAATAACAGTTTCACCAGATGAAAAAAAAGTACTTCTTTTTATGCAAATTGCATACTGAAGCTTTGAAGTGACAGCATCTCACATTTAAATTGGTATTCATAAAATAATGTTATTTAACTGAGTAAGAAAGCAAAATTGTCATAATCTTAATGATTGGTTTTCTAAACACAAGTTGTAGCATATATTCTAATTTCATTTCATTTATTCAGAGTAGACAACAATTAAGTCATTCTACCAACACAAATGCAGTTCAATAAGAAAATCAATATTTTTGCCACTGTTATTTTTTATTACTCTGTGATACTGTGAGAATTATCAAATCTGACCTGTAAAATGTCTAAAGCAGACATTTCCAAAGTTAGGAGGGGTCTGTTTAATTATTTTCAAGATATCTTGTTCTGATTTCTGATCCATTTTTGATATTTTGATCGAAAGTTTAGCAGCAAATTAACGACTGTTACTCTAATTGTCTAACATGATTCACGTCTCTTGCAGGCCTGCAGTGTGTGGATGAAAAGGCGCCTTGTATTAACAACGCAACATGCCTGACCTTTAATAATGGCACAGAATACTGCAGGTAAGATCAAGATTCACAACCAATCACGAGCTTTGCAGTTTCATTTCACCAGGTCACACTGTGATCTGAGATGTATTAAGATATGAGCACAGAGGTATACATGCGCTTATGTGATAGTTGGATATGAAAGGCCAAGCCAAAAATATGGCTTCTAGGTCAACCACAGTCACTTCAGGGGATCAAGAGGTTTTGTTTGATTGACAGCCTGCTTTGTTTGATTAACTACTTTTCCATTAGTAAATTAAAAAAAACTATGAACATTTTTTATTTCATGCCTTTTTATCAGCATCATGTCTCAGGTTTGTTGCGATTACATTTTATTTTAAGAAGCAGCAGACATATTTCCTCTCTCCGTGTTATTACTCGTAATGAGTCCAGAACAACACGCACACACACATTTAGTGTGAACAGAATGAAAGGAAACTGTCAAAATCCCAAGGAAATTGAAGTTATTGAAGAGTGCCAAGACCATGTCAGCTAAAAGCTAAAAATAACATTTTTTTTCTGCTACTGGAGTAATCAAACCATGCAGGAAAAGGACTGCAACGTAAAGAGTGCAACTACTATTTTTTGATGATTTATCCTAGTTTGTAATTAGGCCTGAGCTTTCTTTATAATTCTGTTGCCACTCCCAAGCCCAATTCCCAACAAAAAACACACCATAGCTAGTTCATGAACCTGATCGTGTTTCATCAGATGTGATGAGAATGCTGAAACGTGTCTGTTCCCAGAGCTTTTGGAATGTAAGTACTTGGCTGCCGTTGTAGAAAGTGAAGATAAAACCAACAGCTCTTAATCACTATTAAACATTTTCTCTGTTTAACTGAAGGTCAAGTAAACATTTTTCCTGCAGGTGCATTTCAGTTTGACACATGCACACCGTTGTCAGTTTGCATGTGTGTGAGAATAAAGTTTTGTTGGAGTCAGTTAGGCTTTGTAATTTCTCTAATCAAGGCTTTGCATTGTTTAAGGCAAAAAATGAATTGGATTTTGAATTGAAATCACGGTGAGCAATGTGTGAAAGATGGTTGGTTTTGAAATGATATTCTGTGGTCTTCATTCAAGTTGTTATATTTCAAGAGATAAGAGAAGCTTGTAGTGGCCACTTAAAGGATGTACATAGTGTGAGAACTGTAATATTATAGAAATTTTTTCAGGAACCCAATTTTAGACCTGACTTTAAATGTGGAACTGTGTGTGCAGTTAACACAAACATGAGCAGAGTTTTAGGGAACCAACGTTTTTCACTATGGATATTATTTTCTGGATATAGATTAAAAAGTAAATATGCTAAGCAACATTTAGATTAGTTACCACTCAGTAACTGATGATGAGAAAGACAATTGAAGTCAATACGAATTTCAGTGTCGGTTCAAAAATGAACCGACACTGAAATTTATGATAATGACCATAAATGTCTTTTTTGGTTGTATATTGGTAGACTATGTTCATGTCCCGTCAAGATGCTGTGCTACGTGTACCATCTTTAGTCGCCTTACTCCACAATGTTATGGTTTTAGTGATGTTGGCCTTGTATTGCTAATAGGAGATGGCAAACCCAGATTAAAATGTTGGCTTGGTAAACATTTTGTCTTTTTTTTTACAACAAAGTGGTAAGTGGTGGCATTATGTTGTTTGTGTGTGGGAAAGTATTTGGTGTAAATGGGGATTTCTTTAAAATATAGGGATTTTTTAATTATGCACTTCCCCTATTTAAATGATGAATGATTACTCACAACAGAAATACTAGAAAAAAAAACGTTTTGAAATGCTAAAATATTGGTAGAAGGGCTAGCAGCCCCTGAGGTCATACATGAGTTTTTAGAAGAGTCAGCTGACAGAGAGCAGGCCTAGTGTTAGACTGATTCAGTTGCCGATTTTTTTCCTATGTGTGCATAGTGGCCTCTGTTGAACCTCTTGGCTTCTGTTTCTATAATGTTGTCATTCAAAAGACACATTGTCCAAAAATCTGATTACACATTTATTAAGCTCTGCTGCAAGTTAAACTCAAATAAACAGTCATTGTGGCCTTTTGACATCAACCAGCTACATCACATGGATCCTTGTGGGGGTCAAACTGAGTTGCTGAATAATTAAATAAATCCTTATTAGGAAAAGCTGGAGCTATAAAATGCAAACATTTATACTATCTGTTTGGTATTAATGAAAGAACAGCATGTTAGAAATTGATGTTTTGTGCTAGCTTTTATAAACTGAAAGCACAGAGAAATGAACACCGAGCTGCAGTTTTTTTTTCTGGTTAATTTCAAGATTAGCTTTGAATTGTTTCCCATTTTGATGTATTCCCTCCCTGGTTTTTATATCACCAAACCTTTAGAAACTAATGCTGCTAAAGCTGCACTGTTGAATCACATGTGTCACTCAGTGTTGGTGTTTTGATCAGACATGTTCACCTGTTGTGGCATATTAAGCCATTTGGATTGCTGATGTCTGTTGGTTGCACGTGTGTTTTTTTTTATCTTATTTTATTATCTCAATCTCTACTATTGAAAGGTTGTATTGGACAGAAAGTGACAGAACAATTGAGGGGAACTGATGTCCAGTTTAGTAATTCACACTCTATTCAGATATAATTGTACACCTTCGACTTCCCAGATTTTATATGGATTTTACAAAATGGGGCATAACTATGAAGTGGATAGAAAATGATTTTTTATTTTTATGAATACAAATTTTTAAGACTGGAAAGCACATTTGTTCAGCATAATTTAAATCCAGTTTAACCAAATGTCTTCAGATGTCCTTTAGTCAATAAATAAACTCCCTATTTGTGTTTGAACATTACTGCACAAAGAGTATAATAAGTACTAAGGAAGACATTTGACAAGTTTAGAGCAAGTTTTTAAGCAGAGTTTGGTTTTGCTATTTCTGAAGCTTTGAAAGTCACACAAAGGGCTTTTCTATTCATCTTCTTATGATGGGAAAACATGGGAAACCTCAAACTTGCCAAGGAGAGTTGTCTGACAGGATAGGTAAGGAGTGGTTTATTCAGTGAACCAGCTGAATCATCCATTACTAACTGTGCATGAGATGCATAGATCCACTGCTTAGTTGAAAGATTCTGTTGACAGGAAAAATCTTCGTTGTGCAATCCCCAAATATGGCCTCTATGAAAGAAAGAAAGCCAAAAGAAAACAATTTAAAGTTTGCCACAAACCTTGTATGGAAAACAGAAAATGTGTGTAAAGAAGTGCAAATTGACATCATGCTTTTAAAAACAATAGCTTGAAAACCAGATATTTCACAATTATCTACCATTTTGTATTGCTGAGTCCGTGCTGCTCTTTTGCATAAAAAATAACTGAATATTCCTGAATGTTGTGTGGAGCATGATTATCTCATATGCCTGCCTGCTAAAGTGGAGGCAGAAGAAGCTGCTGCTCACAGTTCATGACTTCACTGACCTGCAGAAATACGGCACATTCTCTAAATTCTGCAAATCTAATTTTAGTCATCAGAATTTCAAATCTTTTTTCTTTAAACTTCTATTTAAATTAACTAAACATTTTCACTTCCATAACAAGTTAATAAGATATGTGTCTACGAAACAGCAGCATAAACTGTAACTATTTTCTCAAAGACAATATCGTGGGATTTTCTTGCACATCCACGTCTTCGTGGACTGAAAGATCTTGTCAGATGAAGTGAATGTCCGTGGGAGATGTCAATTGGCTGCTTTTGCAGGGCAGGGTTCAGAAAAGCTGTCTAACCGGTGAAACTGCAAACCATCGGCTTTAGGTGTGTGAGGTGCAAGCTACGAGTCAATCCCTGTGAGGATCTGTCTGTGTTATCCTGAATGGTAGGTATTTGTAAGTTGCAGCACATTAAACAAGTTACCTGGTAACAGAACTAAAGTCATGGTGTTGTTTTCCAGCCTGTGATGATTCATGTTTAACGTAAGCATGAGGTTGAACACCATGTTGTCCAGATCCTCTGAACAAGAGCTTTTTGTCTTGTGTTGGCTTCGGAGCAAACTGATTACGTCTTCCTTCCTCTCTCACTTTGTGCAGCAGTTTTTCTTTGCAAAGTTCTTCTCCAGCATTTTTGAAGAGATTTACGGTGTTGTGTGGATCTGCTGCCTGTTTGATCTGACAGGTAGAATTAACCTGCAGGGGAGGCAGAGGAAGAGAAAGGGCCAAAACAAAAGAGGATGTCTCTTTTTAGGTAATTTGAGAAGGAATACCTCAGAGCACAACTCCTTACTAATGATGAGAGACTGTCGAGTGGGGGGGGGATGGGAGATGGGAGGCTCGGAAGAAGTGGAGAGAGGAGTGTAATTTCCCTTCTTGCTTTGCCTCCTTCATCAAACTGTCACTCATCCATCCATTTCCCAGTCCAGCCCACTGCTGAAGGGATTTAGATGCCTCTAGACAAGCCACCTGGTCTGTTAATCTTTTCATGACTATTTCCTAATTCTAGATGAGGTTTGGAGGTCATAAATCATTAGTCTTTGTTTTAATAATCATTACTTGATCTCTATTTAGAATCTCAAGGCTTTGTGAGCTTTGTTCTGAACTTTCCCTTCCTCACTCATGTTTCCTATTAGTCACCTTGTAGAATCACAGAACACCTTTATGATTTAAAAAGGCTCTCAAACACACATGCGCGCACGCACACACGTTCAAGACATCCACTCTTGAGTTTTGGGAATGGTTTCAGCACAAGATTCTAAGCTCCCCTTACCCAGATGTGGGGGACTATAAGCCAAAGCAGTGATTTCCCAATCTTACACTCCAAAGATTTATCTTCTTCCCACAGCTCAGCCAACAGCAGTGTAGTTGTGGTTCAGACTGGAACCACAGTGATAAGAGTTTTATTGTGAATGTGTGTTTGAACTCTTCTTTGCTGTTTTATCTGGAAGTCCAGGCCAACCAGAGCTGAGTGCAGGCTCACATGCTGCCACTTTAAATAGCTAGTTCTCAGTCAGCGCATAAAATCAATATTTGGATGAGTGGGTTTAAGCTTTGCATGACTCATGG